GGGATTGGTCGAGATGTGGTTTGTAGTATGCAGTATGTTAGGACTGTATTGCTGCCGTGAATGGAGTTTGACCTAACTCCCGTTGGTCATTCGGTGTAGTCATAAAAGCAGAATAGTAATAATATAATAATAATAATAATAGGTTGTAGTGTAGATAATATAGGTTGAGATAAGTGGAATAATAAAGGTGACCTAAGGAAAAGATAGAGTGAGAGAAGGCAGAATAGGTCGTGGGGATTTAGTTTGTACGCTTATCCATTGACAGTGTGGTTTCAAATTTTATGAGGATAAGCCATTGAGACACAAACCTTGCATTTCTGCATGATTGTCTAGCTTCCGCTTAAAAATCTCCAGAGATGGCGCTGTAGTCACGGCCGCCGGTAAAGCGTTCCAGAGACGGCAAACACGAAGCGAAAAGAAATGTGATCGCACTCGAGTCTTTGGTCTCTGGTGTGCTATCCTTAGCGGGTTACCTCGTGGAAGCCTATAATCGCTTAATGGCAGGATGCTTTTATTTGGGTGGGCCTGGTCATTTAGGATCTTGTAGACGGTGATGAGGTCTCCCCTGTGCCTACGGTAACTAAGTGTGAAAAGACCTAATTTCTTTAGTCTTTCCTCATATGATTTGTTGCGGAGGCCGATCACCCATTTTGTCGCTCGTCTCTGGACACTTTCTAGAATGTTAGCATCCCTTTTGAGTAGCGGAGGTGCAATGATATTATGCACCTCAAGGTGTGGCCTCACATATGCCTTGTATAGCCTTAAGAACAGTTCGGGAGTGAGAGCTCCCAGCTGCCTGTGCATAAAGTGTAATGTTGCGTAGGCTTTGGCGACGTCCCTCGAGTAATTTCCACTGGTGTCTAGCTTTTCTGTTAGAATAAGACCTAGATCACGCTCTGATGGAACACAACTCAAGTTCTGGCCACCAAGGGTGTAATTTACACTCTGTGACCTGCCGGAATGAAGCTGCACTACTTTGCACTTCTTTAGATTGAAAGGCATTCCGTTAGCCAAAGCCCAATTTCCCAGAGTTTGCAGGTCAGCCTGCAATCTATCTGAGTCTTCCGATGAGTTTATTGCTCTCCAAATCTTTACGTCGTCAGCGTAAAGAAGCGCAGAGCAGTTTAGTTGGGGGGGCAGGTCATTGATAAAAATCAAAAACATCAACGGCCCTAGGATAGAACCCTGAGGAACCCCTGATGCCGAGGTGTGCCAGGATGATCGGATGCGGTTGACTTTGGTGCAGAATTCTCTCTCGCCTAAGTAATCTTTCAGCCATGCGAGAAGTGCTCCAGAAACTCCCGCCTTGCCTATTTTGTGAAGGAGCAGACCATGGTGAACTGTGTCGAATGCTTTCGCAAAGTCGAGAAAGATCACGTGGGCTGGTACCTTTTTGTCCCAGGATAGTGTCCAATCGTTCCAGGCTAGTAGAAGATTCGTCACGCAGGATCTTCCCCTCCTGAAACCGTGCTGTGCTTCGTGAAGAAGGTTAGTCCCATCGAAGTATTTTCTCATGTGGTCGTCAATGAGACTTTCCAATATCTTCGATACCACTGGAAGTAGAGCAACTGGTCTGTAACTGGTCACATTCTGCCGGTCACCACCCTTGAAGATAGGGGATAGGATTGCACGTTTCCATTCACATGGAAGTTTCCCTACATCAAGGGAGTGTTGGAACAGATCACTTAGGGGTTGACAGAGACTTTCTGAACACTGCTTCAGGACAGATGGTCTGATGCCATCACAACCTGGAGACTTTCCCGAAGCCAACCTTCCCAATTTTGCAAGTACCATAGCCGGGGTAATTTGAAATGTCCCCAGCAGGTTTTCGTGTGTTGGTTTTGCGATGTAATCTGGATGTTCTGTAGGGGTAATATCCTCGTTACTATTTAGTTGCCTGTGAAAGGCTAGGCTGAATGTCTCTGCCATTTCAAGACTAGTAAGAGATTTCCCATCAGAACCCACTAGATTGCATGCTCCCTGGTTGGTCGGTTTTCTTTCGGCCATAAACCTGTATAGGCTTTTGGGGTTCACGAGAAGCTTATTGGCGAGGTCTCCCTGAAATGTCCTTCTATCGCTCCGGACTCGTATGTTACATCGATTCCTGAGTTCAAGGTACACTTCATATTCGGGTTGACTCTTCGATCGTCGCCACGCGAACCAGGCTTTTCGCTTTGCCTGCAGAAGGCGTTGTGTCCCCCTTTTCAGCCATGATCGTTGCTTCCTAGCTTTTGGTGAGACTAAAGGAACAGTGTCTGAGACCGCCTGGTGAATGATCTCCTTTACCACTCTCCAGTGTTCTTCTACTGTTAGCTCTGTCCATTTTTTAGGCCAATTTGCTTCAGACAGAAGTCTTCGCATTTTGGTGTAGTTGGCTTTGTTATAACACAGATAGGGCTGTGTATTGTCCCACTGTAAGCGCTCGCGGAGGACTATGTCGAATACTATGACCGCGTGGTCACTACTACCTATGGGAGTCGTGATCTGAACGTTTTCCACTAGTAGCTGGTCACTAGTGAGCACGTAATCCAGTCTAGAAGACTTCCCATCAGGGCCCCATCTAGTATCCATCTTGACATTTTCAGTGAATCCAGCCTTCCTGATGGTATGCAGCAGATTTCGATCAAATCTATCATGGGCTTTTCCCGACACCAAGTTAAGAGATGGGGCATTGAAGTCACCAGCTATGACAATTTGATCATAACCCATGTCTTGAGTTGCTGAGATTGTATTTAGCAGTACCTGGTTGTGGTCTGCTCCACATGAAGGTGATCGATAAATGCTGCCCACTAGATATTTGCAGTACCCAACGGTGAAGTGGCACCATATGGAGTCAGGGAGCTCTGTGAGGGGAGGGTCCGTCGCGTGAACACATCTGAGCTGTTTGTCGACGTATATGGCGACTCCACCTCCTTCTTTCAGGTCCCTATCTCGCCTGACTAGGACCATATCATTTATACTGACTTCGCTGTCTGCCACCGTAGGGGTTAGCCAGGTTTCCGTCAGTATTATGATTTTGGAGTTTAGTTGTGATTGTAGGTGTCTAAGTTCAGCTATTTTGCCTCTTAGCCCTCTCACATTACTATACAGGCAACTGGTAGTCAGTCTCACCACTTCCCCGTATTGGGGGGTAGTTGACTTGATATTGGCTATCGGTTGAGGAGTTATCCTACGAACTAGTTGGCCGATTCCCCAGGAACCGGCCTGTTGGCGTTTTTTTCTTCTAGTTCAGTTGGAGCACTCGGATGACACTGGCTATCATCGTCCGTGCTGCACCGCTGTAGTGTGACTAGGGGTTGAGGATTTTCTTTTACTACGCTTTGTTCTCTCCTTTGAGTGCGAGGCCGGCTCTCGCAGCAGCGAATGTGTTTGCTGACCTTGTCCTTGGTCTCGTACCATCTATGGAGAGCGGTATTCAACTGGTCTTGGGAGCTGAACTTGACAGCTAACAGACGTGGCGAGTTAATTGACATAAGATGAGTGGGTCGAGGCAGTCTATAAATAGAGACAGCCCCTGAACTTCCCAGGGCCATCTGGGATGCTAACCATCTCCATTGTTGTACATCATGACAATGCTTTTCGCAGGCGTTCCCAGTTACCAGTTCGGGAATGCCATGCACAACCATGGAGGCAGAAGGAATGAGCTCTGGCGACTCCCTCGCCATTTGTCTTTCCTTCCACGGCCTGTCTGGCTTAACACGTATGTTACAGGCCCTCCCTATAGAAAGGACTTGAGAAGCCAGTAACACTTTTTCAACATCCTCGGTAGAGCCCAATGTTACCCTCAGTGGGGATGGTTTGCCTTCAGGTGCAGCAGTGCCCCTATACAATCTGCATAGATTTACTGGTTGGATGTCCAAACCCAGTGTGCTACTCAAGATGGACCACTGTTCCTGATCAAATAGGGCCCTATCTTTCAGCAGACTACTGCTACAGTCTGGTACATTAAAGAGGATTACACAATTTGATCTGCTAACCGTGGGCTTGGGCTCGGTCCTCGCACGTTTGTGATCACCTTTAAGACCGTTTTGGTTTGACTGGTGCGACTGGGTATTTTTATGTGTCTCAGTGCTATAGCCAGCATTACTGATAGACGGTTGGGGTCTTTTTCCAACGACGGAAACCCGTGGTTCTCCAGCCTCTGTGTCTGGAGCGGTTATGGCAAGAGTTACAAGTTTAACCGGTGAGGATTTTGGTATCCCCGGTTTACGCGCGTTTGTACTAACTTCCGGATTGGTGGGGGTCGAGCTTTTCACCTTTTTCCCCGCTACTTCTGTGCCATCTTTAGTTTTCAAAGGACTACGCGAGGCTACATCAGGACGGCAACTCGGGCATATGTACCAGAACCATTGGCATGGGTTTTTACGCATAAAGTCATAATATGCTTTTGGTACCCCACTGTCGCATCTGCAATGCACCCATCGGTTGCAAAAGTTACATTCGAAAGCAGAGTCTGCTTGTTCGACAACAGAAGCACAGACCTTGCAGTCGTCTGTCTTCTTGGGGAGCGTTCTTGTCGTCTTGCGACGTCGTGAACGTTTCTTTTTGGCCTTCCTATTTGTTTCATGGTCTACCATGGGGATGGGTGTTATGAAGTTCTCACTTAGTGCAATTTTCCCACTCGGATCTGTTAACCTAGTCGTGTTAACAGGGGTGGAGCCACATCCACTTGGCTGACTTTGCACAGCTTCACTGTAGGACTGTGGCGACATGGGTAATCTGTACGAGCTGGGAATATTAGCCCTGGTCTTCAGGACCGGTATGCGTGAGTCCATCACCTTCTCCTGTTTGCCTAGTTTGGCTGAAGCCCTGGTAACTACAGAGTATGATGTCCCATTACTTATTTTAGGTTGAGAATCTATTGTCATTTTACTCCTAAATTAATACTGGTGATTAAATAATAAGAGACTGTTATTTTGTCCAATAGACTTACAGCAAAAGACAATAGAGAGCACAGAAAAGAAGGATAAAGTATTTAAGTAAAAGCTTTAGACTTTACCTGTAACTTTCGGGTTATTCGGTTTCACAGCAATCACGTAACAGACCCACAAGTCCTGTATATTTGAAAGAGTGAGGAGGGTGTTGCTACAGAAGTAGCACCTGAAGCTTTGGCAGTAGTTCGAGACAGCGGGAAGTACCACACACAGGCTCGGTGAGGAAGAAATGGTTGAATAAAAATTCGCCGGATAGGAAGATCAGGTTTCCCAAACGAATAATTCACAAAATTGGATATTTCCGGTTAGAGAGGAAAAAGCACGTCTTACCGTTCAGGGTAGGTTCACGGAGTTTTAAGGAAGTTTTCTGGATTCAGAGAAAAATGACACACTCCGCCAAAGCTTCTCCATTATGTTGCCTCAGAATTTCCTTCAAACTTTTTCTGGCGTCTTAATTCAGTTTTATCATGTTATCATAATGCTCATATTTACGTCTGATACAGTTTCTAAAAATTCATTTAACTTATCTGATGTTTTTGAAATCTGACTTTTCTTTTTTACGTCACCTTGAATAAATATGTGACGATAAGTTTTCAAAAATTTCTGCCTTTTTGGTGTAGATTTGTTTATGAGATTTTTTCAGATCACCTAACAAGCCATGTAAGAAATTAACCAGAATTGCTTTGTTCTTCTGCCAAACATTTTCGAAAGGTAATACAAGGCATAACCCATGGGTTATTCTATCCTAGGTGCACCAAGTTTATCAAGTGCAGGTACTGGTTCTTGTTGGTCCTCCAACAGTACTTTTCACTTATATGAGACGAAGCAATTACCACAATTACAGACACTAAGTAACCAGTAATTAAGTGATATATGGACAGCCTGTGTGTTATTCAACATCAATACGACATTGTCTGAACCCCTAAGTACAAAAATCCTCCCTCCACGTAGTAGATCTAAACCACCACTTCTAAGAATTTTCATGGCTAACTCCAGAGTGTGATCGATGACATAGTCGCAGAGAAATAACGAGACTCACCAGCCTTGCATCCTCACACTGTTGGTGGAGAAGAGTAGAGATTGGTAGTTGTATACACCCTCTATAAACAGCCTGGTAAGGCATCGGATGGAATGTAGTCTTCCTTCCTGAGATTTCTCTGCTGTCTACTGGATCAGAACTGAAAGGGAAGTCTCGTGAAAGGATACCCCAAGGCAATTATATAATTTGATTAAAGCAGTGTCTTAGTGCCTACATTAAACATGAAAGACAATTCGACGGAAAAATCATTTTTATTTTAAACCCTCACAATCCACCTAACCTGGTAAGACATCATTCATATGTTCAGTCACGTCAATCATTACCTTTACTTTGTTTTCATTATTCTTAAGTGTGGAGTATCTTCTTTTATTTCCAACGCCTTCATGCCACTTCTTTGATCCTTATCTTTACCAGTCATTCGAAAGTTTTTGAAACAGTCTGTCTGTGCTGGCCTGAGTTACTAGCTGGTTGCTTTCAGATATCTGATCGTCACTTATATACCTATGGGTGAGAAGTAGGTTTATTGAAATACTCCATGATGATTCTTCAATATATCGACTCCTAAACCAGCTGATTAAAGATATATATATATATATCACATTTAATCAGAGGCTGTCTAATTTACAGTTAAAAATGAAAAGTAGAAGATAGAATCATTTTAGCAGCCTATCTTAGGACTCAGGTAGCACGTATTTATAGAAGCCCATACTGATAAATCAACAATGGTATTCATCTTACAATTTGTTTTTAGTCAGCACTGATTTTAGACGGCAGAAAAGACATCGTCCCATCCAGTGATCACCTGCACGAAGCCGATGAGAACACAAATAGACGGTACAGCTATAATTTATTTGAAGTTAATACAAGGCTGTCTCCCCTTCTGTAACACCTAACTTGATTTCAGTCACCCATACGTCTATGGGATTGAAGGTCTGTGACTACAAACATATGAAAGACAAGCAGTTGTTGAATCTTCAACTGTCCAGTTTTTATATCATCACAAGAAATCTGCCTAGTTAGGAGATACCTGAACACATATCTGAGTGAAAACTATGTTCATCCTGAGGAGGCCTGACATCACAACCCAATTTCTTTTAATTCCTCTAGCCTTATCTCTGAAATGATAGGCTCCAGTATAGTGGGTAGCAGAAACCACTCAAAGGTAGGCTTACCAACATCCTCTGCCATGATCGTAGACAGTGATAGACTGTGAAAGCCAAAAATCGAAAAAGGTATCTGTATGCACCAGTTAATTAGGAAAATAGGTATTGAGATAGCCATGGTAAATGAAATAATCTCCGAGAAGGATGCAACTTCAGCAACATAACAAAGGAGACATCTGAGATTTTGGGAAAACATTTTGAGAGGCAGTTTAGCTGACCAACGGCTTCACCTATTTTACTTACCATATAAAATCAAGCTGGATGGAGTGTATACTCCAACTGTATTTGAGATTATGAAAATCGCCTCTAGCCTATAACAAGGCGTAGGGTAAATGCAATAGATTCCTCTGATTCTTTTCTTGTGTTAGGTTCAAAGAGTTAGGTGAAGAGAGAAAGAAATATCAGTTTAGAGATGCTACTTGAACATGATGCTAAAATGTAAGGATACATTTTCACTTCTGGGCAGTGTTTAGGTTTTACTGGTAGATATCAGTCAGTTAGCAGTACGTTTGTTAGCATGCCATAATTTACTCTGTTGAAGAACCAGATCCTCTTGTAAAGTTAATGGCAGTTTGTTCCAGCAGTAATCCTGTGATCCGAATCTGCAACGGGAGGGATGGAACACAAAGAGGTACACAGCGATTAGCACAATGCTTTTTCCATACTGTATAAAACACAGTTTGGAGTAATACAGTCACCATTATTTTCTGCCAAATCATGCCTTCAAGATTTCAGCGATTATACTGAATATCTGAAGATACGAAGTAGCTTTGAAAAGACCTTTTACTGAGGTTTCTAATGTATATTCCATTGGAGTTGTTCAGTAAGATTTGTTCTTAATAAAACACTTCCCATCCTGCCTAAATAATTTTTGTTGAGGAAAAAGTATTGAATTGATTTAAATTCTAGCACCAGAGAACAGTCTGTTTAATATATTTTCAGTCTTGAAATGTCTATCTGCATCAGATTTTCTTTCCGGCTGAATTTTCAGTTTTTCTGCCTAAACTGTAAATCCAGTGGTAATTAGTCAAGACCCTAACTTACTAAGCTAGGAGATTATTCTCTACAGAAAAATTAGAGGAAGAATTCATGCTTCTCGAACAGATGTTGAAAAGCAACGGTTATCCTCAAAGGTTCATTAACAAGTACGGAAGATCTGAAGTCTCATATGTCAAGCAAATCACTGTGGAGAAAAAGCCCATCTACATTCAACTTAATTATAAAGGTGAAAATATTACAGCAGTTGTCAACGGAAAATTAAGGGCGTCACTAGGCAGAGCCTATCATGCAGCTAAGCTCGTTTCCGTCTATCGAACGGCTTGCTCTTTGGTGCAATCATAAATCGATAGATATCCTTCTCATGTTAACTCCAACTCTATATACAAATTTACATCTATCTTTGACAGCAGTTACATTGAAAGAACAGAAAGAAGGACAAACCTACGATTTTCTAAACATGTACCAAAAATCATGTCTAAAGGGAGCAAATGCTTAAAACAGTGGCATCGTTAGGTATTTCTTTGACACAGGTCATTAAGGGGACGTGGCAAGATGGTTCAGAATTATCATTTAGTAAAAGAATGCAATTCTCCTTAAGTTTGCTGACTCCATCTCCATCAAGAGCCTGAAACCTGGTTTGTGCGTTCACAAAGAGACAGTTATAAGTCTTCTTTGCTTTGGTAAACGGATATTTTCATCTCTGTTTCACCTGAATATGTAATGCTGAAAGTTTCCATTGTGTATGATTATTATTGTTCGGAATAGTGTTTAATATTACATATATAGATATTATTACTGTATGCATATACTGATTGGTTGATTTTTGTTTTAAAAATGAACTCTGTGAAAGCATGTAGATACATTTAATAGTGATTTTGGCCTGCAAGCAGCTGATGAGAACCCAACGAAATAAATGATGATACCATTTTATTTTGCAAAAACCGTTGTTCTTGCTTTATTCGAAGTATAAACTGTTTTATAAAAGAGTCTTCTATATTTCAGCCTTAACTGGTTAAATACCACAACTAAGAAAATATTCAGAAACTCTTCAAAATCTCTGTATATTCGACTGCTTCGCTGCTGAATTACATAATCAAAAATTCCATATACCCGTACTGTGGAATTCTCTTCTAATGTAAGTGAAATTAATAAATAACTTTCAGGGTTCATACATCTAAAACTGAACAGTGTTTCGCTGATCTGGATCCCTTATTGAAGAGGACTTCTGAGCTGTTATCCAAGATAAAGTAATTTATTTTTATGCTTAAGTAAAGATTAGCATAATCTAATTGAAATCATATAAATTATATTTTGGATGTAGTTAACATGTAATTTGGTGAATGGTGACTAGCAGTGAAATCTAGGATGCATATTTCTTCCTATTTCGGACTCTTCATTGGGATGTGCCTGTATTCCCCAGTGAATAGTGTTAATGTCTCTACTGAGGCTCGAACCCAATACCCATAGTTTCAGACTCCACCTATTGTGCAGCAGGCATCGGTTATTACCTAATTCAATTTGGGCTTTCCTACTGATTGAATTAAGTAGTTGGTATATATTTGATGCAAATGAATTCAAGTACTGACTGAAGTACGCATAGTTAGGGCTAAAATTTAACTGAATAGTTTGCAAAGTGAACCATGAAAAAATATATTTTATTAGATAAATTATGAGTATTTTTAAAGAAAGGGTAACTTAGTGCTTTGGAATTCTTCATCATACATATGAGCAAATAATGAATCTCGATTAAGGAATCTTTAACCTATTCTAGAGATTAGTAAACCGGGTTAGTAGTCATGGTTCCGATGCATATATGTTGCTAACATCTGATTTGACTCCAGAGTCTACAACTTCTTTTCTCACAGAAGAAGTGAAATGTGGATAAGAACTGATGTTGTCGCCCAATTCCGCCTCATTTAACGGATTTTATGCAAAGTTTCCTAGAATTCTAAGCATTCGACTGTTTACTATCTTATGAAAATTTCAAATCTTGTACAATATTGTACTGAGAAATAATGTCACACTAGCCTGTGAAATAGTAGATGGTTGAAAACATAATGAGCTTTTTTTACATAGATTAAACTAGAGATTTCTTTAGCCTGTTGTTTGCCTCTACCCTCATGTAATTATTGTAAATACAGATATAAACATTAAAGCACAATACTGAAGTGCTTTGCATTATTTCAGTGGATTAAGTAACTCAAGTACCATTAATTAAGGTATTTTGCAAGGGAATAAGAGAGTGGAGGAAATATATGAGACGACTAAGTTTGTGTCAACTTTACAGAAAACCAAGACAAATAAAGGCGTTGAAAATGCTTTTTTGAACGGATGGATTAAGTTTACTGTTTTTATCTCCCATAATTGTAGTTTAATCTAAGATGCATAAATGCATGTTTTAGGCAGATTACTTAGTACTCAATATGTAACCGCGAAAGCTTCTTTCATTCCAATATAGTGTTCAGTGATAACTTAATCAGACGAGATGGCACTATTTACTGACTTTAATACTCATTTTGGGCCTAACTTAGACACATTCAAAGAAGTGTAGGGAAAACCTCTTTGATGTATGGAACCTATAAATAATTATGCGGGAGAAGGTAAATTTGTATACTCACACTGATGTGGCTGTAATTCGTTATTCGTGTTTGATGCACTTTGTCAACAGAGGTCTTTTTGAAAAAACTGATGTGAAAGTTTATGGCTTTAAGCTTCTCTTTGACAGACGTGCTTAATCTGCAAATCAATATATATATATATATATATATATATATATATTCGAGATTTATTCTGTTGGTAATGCTTTTTCCATTGGATTACTGAGTGTTGCCAAAATTTTTATTAATTTAATTACTTTGTAAATCTGTATTTTTATTTTTTCTAGGAATGAAGGCATTCTGTGTAATAATTTTCACCCGCTTCCTCAACCTCAACAGCATTTTGACAGAAGTGTAGTCCAAGGTAACTCATCTCAGCAAAATCCATTAGACGGTGATTCTAAGCAATTGGGAATTGTTAATCCGCTTCATTCTGACATAAATAACGCTGTACTTGTAAATTATCATTCTCACAAAAATCAAAATGGATATACTGTGTCGGAAAATGAAAACATATCTACGATAGTTAAAGGTGTCATGCCTACTACTGCTCTATCGCTGGATCCAGTGGAATATTATTTGCGCAACGATCGAAATTTGCGTGACTATGCACAGAAGGCTGATAAACTAAGTGCAGAACTAAAGCAAGCAAATGACCAGGTAAGTTGTGGAGGAATTAATTTGAATTCGTTATCCATTTCAAATTAAATTAATTATTGGAACCTGATTTTAGTCTCATGTATAATAGCTGTGTTAAGGGACAAAATAGGGAATTATAGACAAGCAAGAGTACACCATGATGTCACCAAACAAACAAAAAAGTTGAGTCAATTTAGAATGCAGTAAATTGATTAGAAGTCGCCGCATTTCTGGGCAGTACAATAAGGAAAAATTTGTCATGGTGTTAAAAGTTTACCATGTGCGGATATAAGCAGCAGGAAACAGTATATAGTATATACAAGAAGTGACTATAATGAATTAAACGAAACTGTTTATCCAACAAATATTTGTCCACTAAGGTGTTGGGTTTATCCAACCTTATTCAACAGCTGTACGACAACGGAACATGTCAAGTGATCCACAACGGAAAACTCAGTGAGGCGTTTGGAGTAAACACAGGAGTCAGACAAGGGTGCTTATTATCACCGATGATATACCCAATTGTGGCGTATTGACTGGATTATGCGTCAAACAGTGAGAAACGAGAAGACAGCGATATCCTGGACCGACCGACGTGAAGAACCTACAAGAACTGTATTTCGCGCGTGGATGATTTATGTTTGATGTCACACACAATCGAAGACTTAAAAGCGAACGAAAACCGACAAACTGGTCGAAGAAGCAGCCAGCAAAGACAGGACTCCAGATGAACATAGACAAGACGGAGGTTATGAAAATAACCAACCAACAACAGCAGAAACATCTAGCCCCAATCACCATCAACGGGAGGAATTTGAAAGAGGTTACTTCATTCACTCACTTATCTAGGGAGCATTGTCTCAACTACACACAGTCGGAACGGACGAGGATGTCAAATCGAGCAAGAATCGGGAAGGCGAGCGAGAAACACATCAACATCATCAATCTGAAATCAATCTGGAAATCTTCGTCACTCAGAATCAACAACAAAATTCGGATTTTCAATACAAACGTCAAGTCAGTCAGCTGTTCCATACGGATCAGAAACTTGACGGATGGGTCACAAAGAATATTTCCAAAAGATTGCAGACCTTTATTAACAACTGTCTTTGCTCTATACTGAAGATCAGATGGCCGGAAAGAATCACCAACAAGAAACTATGGGAACAAACAAAACAAGAACCAATCGCCAACCAACAAATATGCAGGAGAAAGTGGAGATGGATCGGACACTCGTGGCTGAGGAGACCGCTGGGTGACATTGCGCGTCAAGCCCTCGAGTGGAACCCGAAAGGGAAGCGGCGTGTGGGGCGTCAGTGCAAGGGTGACATGGAGGAGATCGTGTGAAGAGGAGTTGAAAGAATATTGACTAACATGGATGCAGGCGAAAAGTACAGCAGAAGACAGAAGCAAGTGGAGACGTGCAGTTGAAGCCCTATGTTCCACTAGGAACCCAAGGGAGCAATAATAATAATAAGGTGTTGGGTTTATAAGGAAGCCGACATGTCAGCCTTAGATTGAGCACTTCGGTCCAATCAGTAGACGGGAAAATCTAAAATTCAACTAAATTAACGTGACCCGTTGCACAAGAGGTGGCTCTCTTGGCCCAAGTGGTCTAGTGGATAACGCTTTGGCGTTTGGAACTATGGGTACTAAGTTCGAGCCTCGGTGGGAGAATCATCACTCACTGAGAAATGCAGGTACATCCAGATGATGGGTTCCAAATAGGACAAAATGCGCGTTATCCTGAATTCCACTGCTAGTCACCACCCATCAATTAAATTTATATGGAATTCACTAGATTTCGTTACAAACCGCCACCAGTTAAATAAATCTTCGAGACCAGGAAGCTATGAACAACTGTTTTGTTTTAGTCATGAACTCTTCAGTGGTTCATATCCATGACCGTTCAGGCGTTGAAATCAGAACTTTCAATTTATTTGGTAAGGTTGATTACTATTCTGCATATGAGTTTGAATTCAGGGTTCACTGGTTTACAACTATCCTTTGACTGATATCAGTTTGTGGCAATATCTTAATTTGAATATTTTTCTATTTTACTATTTGTATAATAGAATTAGACTAAGGACACGCCTTCTAGTGGAACAGTTTTAAGTATGAGCAAAACCTAATGCTTGTCTGTATATTTTTCAGTAACTGTAAGATAGATTGAAGACAAAGGCCATCACATTTTTTAAATCGATGACTATCTATACAAACCCTCTTAAATAAAAATGTGATCAGTGAATATCTATGCATCAGACTGCCTTTTTATCTCAATATACTTCTATTCTATTGTTATTTACTATCTTTCCAGTCTATTAAATATTGTTATTCAGAATTCAGCCTAATATGCTTATTGAGAAACATTTACTATTATGGTGAAAAAGCAGGCCTACTTTGAACAAAGCCGCCAAAATATCGAGCACATTTTAAAAACTCATCCTTTTCATTCAATTTTAGTAAACACATCAACTAAGATGAAACAGCTGTCCAGTACTCCCTGGTTTTCAATGGTTTTCTAACTGATATCACTCCATGGTCAAACTCGTAAAAACAAATTTAATCTTTAAAAACCAACTCTTGAAAATTAATCGGATGCTCGCTAGTGACTTGCTACAGGACGGAGTTTCGTGGAGTTCTAGTGAGAAGTCGTGACCAGTGAGGTTCAGACAGTCAAGTGTGAGAATAGATTTCCCACCGATGACATTGGTTAGTGGTCGGGTCTCGGTGGCTGAATGGCATACGAGCCAGCTTGCCTTGTAACCGAAACGTCCTGGGTTCAAACCTCAGAGGGTGAATGCTGCCAATGATTCCCAAACTAGGATGAAACAGCTGTCCAGTACTCCCTGATTTTGAATGGTTTTCTAACTGATATCACTCCATGGTCAAACTAGTAAAATCAACGATCACCTTTGAATGATTTAGTAATTGTAATGTTCTTTCTATATCTCTCTCCAGTGACTCTTTCGAGAAACACTACACAATCAAATTTTTAACTATATACTGAATTTATGAGGATTTGTCCGGCTTCAGAGTATTTTGTTACAAGTTAGTGCTTCTCTTACAAATCTGAAATATTAAAATTAACCTACTGTTCTTTAGTGAGTGGTCTTGAAATGGATATTGAGAAGTTTTAATTTTAAGTAACTATTGGCTAAACCTATCAGTTCGAGTATGATAAAAGAGACTTATTTTTGGCTGTAAATGACGGTAGCACTCTACTATAAGTTAATAAATATCAAAAGTGATTTTTTAGTGTATTTCAACCCATTGGCTGAATAGTAACTTGTTTACGTGGTAACCTGACAGTTCTAAGTTCAATCCCTCTGGAAGCAGACAATGCAGACAGCTTAGAAATGTCCCAAAATAAGGACAAATAATATGCCAGTGGTTTTTAAAATACTGTAGATTTGTAACCAAATCTGTGTCATTAGTATGTGAAATGACACCAACTAATATTTGGATTTTATTTAGTGTAGCTAGTGTATTAAAACTGACTTTGATGAAAGGTTTATATTTTATGCTGGATATTTTATTATTTTCTAGATCAGGAAGCTTGAAAAATGTTTGTTAGAAAAACAGTCATCAATTGATGAACTTTCAGCTGAATTGGATCGTAAAACAGCTTTAGTTAACTCTTTGACAACAGAGTCTGCAACAAAAGATATTCTTCTGCGTCAGTTAGATTCTACCTTGGGCCGTCTGACAAGAAGTTGGAAGGAACAAGAAGCTAAACAGAATCTTGCTTTAAAATTGGCTAAAGAGGCAGAGAGTAGGCGAACTAAGGAATTAGAGGAGGCCAAACACCAGCATCAATTAGCTCATTCACAGTAAGTTGTTTAATAAATATTCAGATATAACTTTTTCTTCAACTCCCTCTCAGAGAAAATCCCATGGGTTTGGTTTTTGATCTATTAAATATGTTTCTGCTTAAAAGTAACAGAGCATATAAATTTCTGTTTGCCGGTGAAGCATGTACTTTCTAAAGGAAATCATATGTGCGTTGTAAGGAAGCTGCCCTAATTAATTAACTAATTAATCGGAACATTCATTTGTGCAAATCCCTTCAGAAATTCTCAGTAGTTCTGTCGAATTTACAATCTGAAATTATTTATTTCATTGATAAATAAAATTTAACTATATTGGGGGTTATCTATTGGGTTGATTCTTAATTACGTGTGCTTTTGGTATATGATGTCATTGTGTGAATAATCTAGTGCATTACTGTGGGTTTTTGTTTCAGACAGTTTCCACAATGGACGATGTAAAATGTTTGGTAATGGGATTAATTGCAAAGTAGATTTCATGACCGACTGACATTGCGTATATGCGAAATGGAGACAAAGGACATCTGGTCTAGACGCTATATTGTGCACCAGTAAAAGTTATGACATATTGGATTTTAAGTCAGTGATGGAATATTAAAGTGTTAACGATGTAGCTTAATGGTCCTAGACTTGACCCATTTAATTCACATGATGGAAGTTGGTGAAATGAAATCTGAACCAGGGTGAAATAGATGTTCAGTTTTACTCGGTTTGCAGTGATGATGAATTTTAATTTCCGCTGGGTGCAAATTTATGGCAGTTAAAGATTAAATGTCTGACGTTATTGTCAAGTGTGGTATTTTGAAGCAGCGTATATATAATATGTAGGGTGGTTGGTAGACTTCATTTATTTATGGTAAACTCAGTTGCTTGGATCTACGTTAAACAGCTCAGTTACAACAAGTTATCACATGCAGTAAACGTGTTGTCGCTTCCAACTCCTTTCAGGAATTCAGCTACTAGTAGCTAGTTAGGTAACAGCACTGTAGGTTTTAAAGTTTATGTGATAATAGAAAATAAATTCAAGACGTTTTCTTCTGGAAAATGTAAGCATAATCTTCAACAGTACTGAATCCAGCATCACGTTTTTTTAAATCTGATACCAGCACACTTATGTACAATGGTTTTTCCCTCATCTTCAGGTAATGATTATACCTAGTTTTGTTATTATGTATTAGGAGATATAATAGTCGTTTAGTCATCTTATGTTCACTAAAATACCCGTTTAATGAAATCTCCTGGTAAAGTGAAACATTGTTCGTCGTGACCAGTGGGGTGCAGCAGGTCGTGTGTGAGGACAAATACTCACCGAAGACATTGGCTAGGGGTCGCTCTATGTCGTGACTTGGCAGAAGTTAGAATTCATGGGCCACTGGATCAGGTCCCAGTGGCTTAATGATCTACCAGCTCGCTAGCCTTGTAACCAGAAGGTCCTGGGTTTGAATCCCGATGGGTTCGTATCGATGAAGAGTCCCAAACTAGGACAGAGGAAACAGCTGTCCAGTACTCCCAGGTTTTCCAATGGTTCTCTAACTAATATCAGCTCACGATGAAATCCTGTAACCAATCAACCAAATCCCTACGAACAAACACTTGAATAATCAACTTCTACTGGACAAGTGTTAATTGAATAAATAACTTCAAAATTCAACATCCATATAAGGTAGTTTATTTTCAAGATTGCTTCTTACAAAAGTTACATCACTAAACGAATTATTCAGGTTTGTGGAATAAACCTTTGGCATTTTTGTTGCTTATCTACCTTGAAGTCACTTTATTTCACTAAGTTTTAAACGGTTCAGCTATAATATATTTAAAAAAAAATCGAATGTGTGATTGTTCAAGTATCCACTAATGTTTAACTTTGTACGGATAGTCTTACATACTTATATGTATAATTAGTATGTTAAAATTAAATATGTTGGGTGTATGCGTAAATAAAAGTTGATTGTACGGGTGAATATATATGTAACTTCATCAATTTGTCGATAAATTATTTATTCATAAAAGAAAACGAAAAAGAATATTCTCATCACAACCATAATTCTCTAGAAAAGCTTCCATTAATTTAAAGTTGAATTCAGTTATAATTGGATTAAATACTGGTCCTTAGTTGCTATGGTGACTTGCTGCTTCTGTTTACATAATCGGTATGCGTGTCAAAGTATAGCCAACATATACTAATTAATTATACTTTTTAAAGTGGTCTAGTAGTAGTAATCGGCATACAATCAAAAATAAAATTGAAAATTAATTATAGTTTATCAGGTTGTAGGACCTTTTTCTTGGTTTATTGAAGACTGAATTGAATCGAACCGTCTGAGTAAAATGTTATTTATCAGGTGTCACTGACGTACCTACTAGGTATTTTTTATGGCGGACTTTTAATTGCTGGTGCCTTTTTATATCTTGTGAGTCTATGTCTCACCAGAATTCCAAATAAGGACAAATAATTCAAAAGTATGTGCAAAGATAAGGTGGTCTATCACGTTATCCAAGCATGCTCCAAAATATATAGTGCGTTGACTTCCCTAGCTGGTTAATGCAGCAAGCGGTCTTGTCATTGCACATGCCGTTTAATTTCCAGAGTATCTACTGCATGCCCCACCAAGAGATATTTCGTAACAAGGTAGTTACAATCCCTCATACATGAAACATGTGTCGCTGTCCAATGCACAAGTAACAATGCAGATACTCATTTTTTATTATTTTATCGATATTAAATTATTTTATTATACTATACACTGCTAGAATGCATGATTCTGTATACTAATTGTTGATCTGTATGAGTGGTTGGGTAACAGTTAAATCAACCAGTAGTATTTGCTAACTAGACTGAAATTATCCAAATACCAGACGCCAATTTCACTTGTTTTGAGCCGAATTTATTACCACTTCAATCTGGTTAACATGCACGACTATATGGTGTGGGGGGCACTCAACGATTCATATAAATCAGTCAGCATTATATGGTGCCTTGCGTTTATGTTTCTTTTCTTGATTGCTATTTATCAAGCTCATCGCATAATGTGATCTGAATAATTTTGGTTTCCAAAGGAAACTGTGGTGAATTTTCACGCCGAAATGAGTAATTAGCAAACTGAGAATTTGACTCAGTATACGCATCTCCCAAATTTTTGATAGGAGGCTAAGTGCAGGTTACTAATCGCTGTCTATTAGATGATGCCAATAAAAACTTACATAGCTCTGTTAGCTGTATTAAGTTACATGGAAATGATTCAACACCTTAATGACTATCAGCCTCTAGATTCAAGTTCTAAAATCAACACTAAGACCATGAATTCCATCAAGAAGTCGAATACTATTTGCTGCTAATCAATTTGGTTTACAAAATACCCTGAAATCTCTCTTATGGATTGTGAATTACATGTAAAAGATACATAAACAGTTACATATGTGAACTAACCACAAACTGATTCAAAGATGAACTTGATTATTTTCTTGGGCGTTTTTTTATAGAGTACAGACTATTAGCTTTGAATTTATCCCAAGAAGTATTTTGACCCTATGGTGATATTCACACAGAAATTTCTGCAGATTCATATTTACAGTCATCATATGTAAGGCATGTTTCAATGCGGACGCGATAAAAGATCAATTTCGTGTACTCTTAACAATAACATGGAAATGATTACAGAAGATTAAAACAAGAAGAACTGAAAGCATAACGAGGTTTGTTAGTCAAAAATAAAACGGCATCACATATGAGATGTATATGATATATAAAAATTTTGATTTTAATAAAATAGTCTTATATTCCGAAGAGCGTCTTGATCGTGATATCTGTCATCTTTTGTTGCACACGAGTTGGAAGAGCATGGCAGTTTTTTTAAAAGTGATAAGAGTTAAAAGGGAAATTAAAAGGAATCGATGAAATGTCAATTTTCGGATTTTTGGAGAAATCTGCATATAACAAATGTTAGAAGTAAATCTATAAGAAGCTCTGGATCTGGATTGTATCCTTATAGAAACTTACCAGTAAAGTATAATTGCAACCTAGAGGGGATTCATTTCCCCTTCCACGTCATTCATTCAAACATTCAGAGACTAGTTGATATTTATACTTAATTATCCTAAAATACTACGTGTACTTTTACACGGCTGGTTGTATTTCCTTCAACCCACCCATGACCTTGGAATCCTATTGGTTGTTGACTGTTTTAACTTATCAATGCAATTAGTGTCCATCAGGGTCATTTGGAGTATATATATATACGCAAGTGTTGTCAATCATTTTCACGAGACAGTAAAAGCTCTCCACATCAACGGTCTGTCTTCTCTTATTGTGCCACGTTTTCGGTGGTGTCGTATTCTGCTGTTATTGCTAGCAGTGGCAAGAGTGAACAATAGACACCAAAGTCAAATGACCTTCAGTCAGATCACTCAGCATTACAAATGAACGCTGTTCATAATAATCCTTGCAAGCTTCACCTAGATTTGACTTTTGTTTGGGAAATAGGTTGGTAAGGAGGATTAAAAGATTGACATGTGGAAGGAAAATGACTTTGCAAAAGTAGTGCCGGGCTTTCGATGGTTGTGCATTTAGGTACAACCACTGTTAAATGAATAAGTCTGTAAAAGTTAGTTAGTCGTAAATTATGGTGGCTTTTTAGGTACCTTCCTCTCAAAATCGAAACTCTTCCTAGGTAAAATATGATTTTCAACCACTTAGATGAATTTTTGTATCGACAGTGGTTTTATGTGTCTGCAGACACTCCTATGAGCTACTAAGACTTATTTTTACAGCATATTAAGGATATATACCCTATATAATTCGTTTTTGTAACATGTGTATTATAATACATTTTTATGTAGATTAAATACCAACTTTTCACCTACAACCTGATTGGTTCTTTCAAGGTCATCTAAAGTTGGTATCTGTTCTTAACTGTTGCCCTAATAGTGGTTAGAATAATAGGCTCGCGAATAGACTTGGTCAGAAGTTTGTTAGCACTACTACCGATTGTATTAACGGTCATATCACTTGTCTAAGATGTAAGATCTCAGTCTCACGGACAGCCACTTGTACAAGTTATCAAAGCGCAAGTTTCATCTATGAATTTTGATCTATCTGACAGGATTTTCTTTTTTTTCATATACGACAATATGTAATGAAAAATTGGTGAAAGTTTTTATCTTACTATTATAATTCCCTCGGGTTCCTAGTGGAACGAAGGGATTCAACCGCACCTCTCCACTTGCTTCTGTTTTCCGCTGTACTTTTCACCTGCATACTGTTTCAACTCCTCCTCTTCACACGATCTCCTTCATGTAACTCTTGCACTGACATCCCACTCGCCGCTTCCCTTTCGGCCTGGTTCCACTCGAGCAATGGTCTGACGCGCGCGATGTCACCCAGTGGCGGCCTCCTCAGCCACGAGTGTCCAATCCATCCATCTCCACTCCATCTCCTGCATATTTGTTAGTTGGCGATTGGTTGGTTCTTGATTTGTTTGTTTGTTTGTTCCCACAGTTTCCAATAGTTGGTGATTCTTTCCGGCCCCCCGGCCATCTCATCTTCATTCAGTATAGATCCAGCGAAGACAGTTGTTGGTTGATAAAGGTAGCGTCTGCAACAGGCTGTTGGAAATATTCTTTGTGACACGCCCGCCAAGTTTCTGATCTCTATAGGAGAACTGACTGACTTGACGTTGTTTGTATTGAAAATCCGACCAAACTTTGTTGTTGATGGTGGCTGAGTGACGAATATTTCCAGATTGGTTTCAGATTGATGATGTTGATGTGTTTCTCGCTCGCCTTCCCGATTCTCACTCGATTTGACATCCTCGTCCGTTCCTTCAGTAGTTGAGACAATGCTCCCTAGATAAGTGAGTGAATGAAGTAACCTCTTTCGAATTCCTCCCGTTGATGGTGATTGGGGCTAGATGTTTCTGCTGTTGTTGGTTGGTTATTTTCATAACCTCCGTCTTGTCTATGTTCACCTGGAGTCCTGTCTTTGCTGGCTACTTCTTCGACCAGTTTGTTGGTCGGTTTTCGCTTGTATGTCTTCGATCCGCGAAATCCAGGTCTTCTTTTATGTACAAATTGCTAATAAATTTGGGATTTACAGATGCACAAAAATATACTTTATAATCCCTTTTCCTTACTTGCCTTTAATTTTATTTCAGATGGGATGAACAACTTAACTCCTTAAAAGCAGAATATCGATTAGAGAGAATCTCCTTAGAAGAACAATTAGCTCAGATGACAAATAAATGCAAAGAACTAGACGGGTTTTGTGAAACTTCTAGTCAAACAATAGAGACGTTAGAGAATAAAATAAAAGAGTATGAAGATGACATAAAAGACTATCAAACACAGTTAACAGAACAACAACAAGCATCTGGTCTAATTATGAAGAAATGTGTCCAACTAAAAGAAAATTGGCAAAATCAATTTAAAAAATATAAAGACTCCATAAAAAGGAATTATGAGACTAAAAGAGATGAAATATACAAATTAAAAGATGAAATCTCAGCAGCTATTAGAAAATATGAAAATGAATTTGAAAATTATAAAAAGCAAGTTGATTCAGCTGCAGAAGTAAGTTTTATATTACACTGCTAGATATTTTTGTTGTGATCCACCAATATGGCTGTGTTTAAATCTCACCTCTCGTTTGAAGTTTTTAGCGATGATAGGTAATGTCACAATTTTAATAGAGGAAGCTTGAATCCTGGTACACACACAACTACTCAGTCACACTGACAATCCTAAGATTGATTTGTGTTTATACGATTACTAAATGTAGATTTTTCAAGTTTCAAATAGTTTAACCATATATTCTTAGCACACAGTGTCACGAAATATTTACTTCATATATCGAAACAGTCACTGGAAACGAACCCAGAGAACTTAGTTGACATGATCATCACTTTGCCTAAAAGGGGGAAGGAGAAAGAAAGGAAGGTACACGCCACGAGAAAGAGAGCTAAAGAAGCGAGACTTAAGGTTACACAGCAACTGACGTGGCATCATGCTCTTATTCGCTCCAAATGAAATATTTAATCGCACCACCCTGGTAAGGTTGAAAGATGTCCTTTTTGGAAGACTTCGTCTGGAACAGGGTTGGTTCAGGACACACAAGTTTTGCGATTCTATGCATCGAACATAGCCTAGAACGACAGTCGAATCTGTACCTCTGTAAGGACAGAAGACAAGGGCCAGGCAGCAGGTCGTTTATTGTAAAAACCAAGAGACATTTATAGATTTTTATGCACATTATTGTTCGTTATTTTAGCAGAGAAGTAAAGTCTTTTGATTGGTTGTTTTCTTGCTTAAGGTTATCTTGTAGTGCTTGTGACCGTTGCCCACAAAGTTATCCATATATCTGTGAAGCATTTTGCACACGCTAAGTCGGCTGTGATTGGTTGTTGAGTTCCTCAAGGTTAGGTTTCGTCCTTGTTTTTCTCATGTCCCCGATTCGGGACGTAAACATTGACGTAAATTGGTGTCTACAGTTTTGGCTTGCAAATAGCTCTCAACACACCTCCACTACATCAACTTTGTAAAGGGCTTCGGCAGTGTTCATTGTGAACTAACTTGATAACGGTTTTAACACCACAGAGTGCTGCAAGCATTTGTAAACCTCATTCAAAAGCTATATTACCATGTCGCATGCCAAATAATTCAAAACAGTAGGCTAAACAAAGCATTTTAATTGAAGACAGGATTAATTTAATGCTGTATGGTGTCACTGGTGATCTTAATTGTGGTACACCGTTGAGAGTAGAAAGGCAAGGTCACTCTGAACGGACGAAAATACTCTAGGTCTGCAGTTTGGGGGGGGTGATTCGTGTCTTGTATCTCATACACTCGAATATATAAAAGCGAGAACCAACAGGTTGGCCGAAAAGGCAGCGAAGACAGGAGTAGGCGTGAAGATTTAGAAGATAGATAGACATTTATTAGTCAGTATTTTGATGTGGTTTTGTTCTCTGAGCTGGATGGTTAGTTAGTATGGAAGTCTACTGCACTCGGCACAAGATCCTTATCCTCAACACTAATGTCTTGTTTGTATCCCTATACGGTTAAAAAACCTGATGCACCAGTCATCTATAGCATCTCTAACAGTCTTCTGCAGACTTTCATTTGCAGTTACCTTCGGTCAGCCAGAAACGATAGGAATAAGGATCTCTGACAATGAACTACTCTGGAACTTATTGCACAGCGAATATGTAGACAGTTGCATTCCAATTCATACCGACCACACGATGGATATTGAAAAATCATGTTAATACCTGGTGTGCTTAGTAAACTGAAATGAATGGATTAAAAAACACTTAAAATATAGACAAAGCTGAAGATTTTTATTGAATGCAAATTTTACCACGTCAGAAATTTTAGCAGGTTATCATCAAATAAATATCTTCAACTATTCAACGTGTGTTGTGGTATTACCTTACAGGGTTAATTAAAAAAATTAAAGGTTTATACTTATAACCAGTCCTGATTAGAACAGGTGGCTTCAGGGAAAGTTATCTTCGGTTAGATTTTGATAATACTGTATCCCTAGGTAGCATTGTGGCACAATTATCTACGCTGTGTTAGTTGACGTATCTTTTCCCACACCTAAAAATGGATTCCTTTAGGTTGCATTAGATATGAAAGAGAAGATTTGTAGCTCAGGTGGATGATTTTGATGTGGTTGTCTTCTCTGAGCTGGATAGTTAATTTGCAAAGCTTTCATCACCCTACTAGGCGACATCTTCAGCGCATACTTCAATTGAAAGTGAGCCTTTAGACTTCTGCACGAGTTTATTATTCATGTCTCCTGGTGACCTTGGGTGTGATTGATTGTTTTTGTGTGTTTTCACACCTTCTAGGTTACTTGTATTGGAACTGATTGTTTCTTTGACTTGAACCTTGATCCTTTGTGTGTGAGGTTTCTTTCTTATCTGTTGATAAATTTTGTCTATCTCGATGTGTCTATTGATTGATGATTCACTGGAATGCCAGGCTGGGTTCTAAAAATTCTCTAGCATTCTTGTTGTTTCCTCTGTCTAATATTTGAACTTTGGTTGTCCCAATCGAACTGATGTCTGTGGTTGTCTGTATGTAGTGATATGAGGGAGTGGATATCATGTCTTTTGACGGTTAGCTTATGTTCATGGATACGAAGACGAAGGGGACGTCCACTTTGATCAATGTAGTGTTTTTCTCAGTTGTTACAATTTATTTTGTAGATGACGTTGGTTTTATCTTCTTTCGCTGTTGACTCTTTTGGTTGTCATAGAACTGAGTGGAGTGATTTTGTTGGTTTGTGTTCGACGTCAATTCCTAGAGGTTTGAAGAGTCTTGTAGTGATTTCTGAGATATCCTTTATATATGGTAAGGCGATTTTCTTTGTACTTTCCTTGGGGGCTTTTGGTTTGATAGGTTGGCCTGAGGGTGCATTCTTTTGATGAAATTCCGTGGATATCCATTCTTTTGGAAGATGTTTATGAGATATCTTTCTTCAATTTTCCTTAAGGTGGGAGTGCTGCAAAGAGTCTTTGCATTAAAGCCAGTCGCCTTTCTTGCACATGCACACTGAAGATCTTTCCTACTGAAGTGCTTGTCTGTTTTCTATGCTTTTACAATTTGTGCTACAGTTAACTATGAAACATTAAAGAAGTACTAATCAGCACTGCTTTTAAATATAAGCCACCCAACACCTGGAATAACTTTCCACCTATCTTTATATATATATATATATATATATATATATATATATATATATATATATAAGGTCTCTGTGAGTATCTTGCAACACAAAGTCATTATGGTGCAAAGCATGTGAAATGGATTGACTAAATCTTTTGTGGAATGGCCATTAAGATATATAGTCACAGCTTTACATGGATCCAAACAGAGACAATTAGGATGCATATGAGTAATCACCAGCAAAAAGTCCAAGTCCTATGAGACTGTTATCGAAGCAGAACGTATGCCAACCAATAGCGTTAAAGAAACACCTTGAACACTGTGAATCCCAATAAAGTCCAATTTAGCTAGTCTCATGTAACTGTGAACTAACTTTCATTGAAAGGTACTTCATAGTCTGTAGGCGATGATTCACTTGTGAAAGCAAATGTTCAATGAAAAACTGATTACTGAGCAGCAATAAGTTGTGTGGCTAAAGCATGTCACCCATGAGTTCCTAAAATTCAAAGTCAAAAGTAGCCAAGAATTTTACAAAAAGGCATCATACACCAATTTCGTCCTACTAACCTCAAGTGAGTGCACTGTTTTACAAAACTTTACAAATTGCTGTAAACTGTTGTCAAGTGCATAAAGTGCATTACTTAATGCGAAGACTGTGGAGATACCAGTCACGTCTTCAAATTCTACTAAATAGTAGGCTGGACAGTCCAATGTAATATTACTCAACATTAAGGTTGCCTTCCACCCACTGGAAAGAAATGATGTCCAGAAATCAATGGTTTTAAATCGTAGATCGCTTAAAACCTCGGATATTTTTAAAGACTATAGTATATTTCTTCCCCTTTTCGCGAAACAGCAAGTACAGATACCAGAATTCGCTACTTATTTTCATATTTCATGCCGACTAACTCTACTAACAACTTTAAAGTAATCACCGGTAGTGTTTTTTTCCCATCATCAGGAAGACAAATAAGCCTTTGGTATACCATTAAGATCGTCTTCTAATGCGACAACAAACAGTTTATTTAAGTCGTTTGAATGCTTAGTAATTAATGTCCGTGAATTTAACACATTTCGCACCACAGTGGTAAAAAATATTTTTGTGGGATTGTGTCGACTACGTCATAAATGTTGGAATGGATTATGGATTCAAGTGTTAATGACTTTAACTTAACTGGAAATACTACTTTGGATCATCTTTGAACTCATTCTGGTGTCAACTGAATGAAGATGAGTCTGCGATTGAAACCATGAGGTTATTCTTGTCTTTATTCTTTCCATCTTTCTTTTTCATAACTTTATTATGTTGGTTCGAATAGTTCAGTTTTCCAATTCCGTTGAAGCACCAGATTTGTGTTTTTAATAGAAAATAACATTATCCACAGCATTTGACTCCAGAAGTTCTTAGCGGAAATCGGGTGTATACAAAGACGTAAATGACTCAGGGATTATGCACATTATTAAGGATAATACTTAATTTACTCAACTAGTGTTAATGATGTAAGTCTGAGTAAGCTTTTGTAGGTGAAAGGATATATTCAGTTACACTTGGTAGCTTTTAATCTAGAAATTTCTGATAGGAAAATATTTAAAAAAACCATGACATTCCAGACAAGAGACTTTAGCACACACGGAACCGTATCACAATAATGAAATTAATGAATTTTAATAAAATCGTCTTTCCATATTTCACATACGTTTTATGGTCAAAAAAGTGCATGTTATTTATGGTGAGAAAGCTAAATGCAATTTTATAATTCTAATCTTCAATATGACCCACTGTGGCATGTGCTACTGGTAAGATTTATCATTAGTATATAAATAGACGTTCACTGGCATTAAAACATCAAATGGCAGGGAGATATATTCTATGTCAGAGAAAGCAAATGATCCAGCGTTATGGAGATACATGGGAGACGTTAAAGGAACAGAAAGAGGCACACAATGAAGGGAAGGCAGAAGTGGCACAATACGGAAGATCTGTGTAAATAATTCCGCCACATAGAGATACCAGTTCCATCGTATTTACCATTACACCTCTGTTATGAAAAGTTACTTTCCAATATATAATTGTGTAATGACAAACTCTAAGTGTTTTAATTTGTCTTTTCGTAGTAGTGTAACATTGTGGTTCTAATTAACTGTTATGGAATTTCTCTGCAGCGAAAAATCCAAACACAACTATTATCATTTGAGCAGAAAATTCAAGAAACTACTGCACAGGCTGAAGAAAATACTAGAAACAAATTAAGAGAGGCATCTGAACGGTATAGAGAGGAACTTGACCAATTACGACAGAGTGCAGAAACTGAGTTATCAAGACAAATGTTAGAGACTGAATCTCGTATTGAAGTAGAACGTCAACGTGTACAAAATGCAGAAAAACAGTCTGAACATTGGCGAATTAGAGCAAGAGAAGCTGAAGAAGCCAGATCAGCATTAGCTCTTCAGATAAATGAATTGTTACAAGCACGATGCGCTGAAGCGATGCAAGTAATTCAAATTTAATGCTTGTATTTGGGATGTGTTATCTTACTTTAAGAGCATACTGTGAAAAAGTAAAATAAAATGAACTCGAAACATTTAGTCCATGTTCAGCGTTTACCATGGTTTAAACTTTTTTTTATCCAGCGACTTTCCTAAAAGACGTATGACTTTGCGATACGTCTGTAGTTTATCAATAGGTATATTTCTAGTGTATTTTGATTTGACACTAGTAACTAGTGTGATGTGTGTCTAGTCCTCTCTTCGGTGCAGACTGAATTCTATCAGTCAAGCTTGCAATGTGGCCACCATTCTAGGTAGCTTGCCATCACGGTGTACATTGATTCGATGATATTAGATGGTTAGAGGTAATCGGCCACAGGAAGCCTTGTACTAAGGTTTCGTGTGAGTTGGCACTCGTCAGCAAGGCGAATCTGCAACCTTGAAGGAACTCATGTCCCTTCTGAGATTCGAACCCGCGTCACCTAGTGCTGCAGTCAGAGACGTTACCAGTGAGATATTCGGGCTCGCGATTGGCCTCCTGTAGGAAGAGACATGAGTTCCTTCAAGGTTGCAAACACGCCCTACTGACGAGTGCCAACTAGCACGAAACCTAGGTCCAAAGCTTCCTGCCGATTACCTCCAACCATCTAATATATTCCTAGTGTATATGTTATACATGGTAAGATATTATGCACCTTTGTTTCAAACGTCCTTATATGACTCTCTTGTAGTTATAAAAGTTCTTCATGTCCAATAAATAAAGATATGCATCGAGAGGCTAGAATGCACTCAAACTTATTATCAACGTTCTTTAGTTACTTTCTTATACGACATGGTTATGAAAAAGTGGTTTCTTCCCTTTGAAGGCGAGTACACTTCCAATTAATAGTAGTAGACAGATTGATTATTTTGACTTAATTTCTAACATATTATTCCAGTTTTATTCTTCATGCCACTACTTCTTACCTGTATAATGAAGAGGGAATCATTACAAGTGTAACATTAAAATGAAAGTTATGCAGCCAAATCTACTAACCTGATTCGAAATTTTTAAAATAAATATCAATTTTTGATTTGAACAAATAACAAATGTGAATAAATCTCTACCAGTACAGCTGATTCTCAATTAGATCACTTAGGATTTCCACTAATATATCTCGTAGGCGATAGGCAAACGGTTTACACGACATAGTTCAATATTCAAGTTTTGGTTTTGTAGGGATTTTGTTTGGTTGCATGGAGGATTTCACCATGAGCTGACATCAGTTAGAGAATCACTGGAAAACCTGGGAGTACTGAACAGCTCTTTCGTCCTGGGTTGGGACACTTCGGCAGTACGCACCCAGTAGTTCTCTAACTGATGTCAACTCATGGTAAAATCCTCCATACATAGTTCTAAAGTCAATAAATCCCTGGAATATTATTTCCGTTTCATTTTAAAAAGATGAAATTGAGTTATTTTCCGGAATAAAGTCAACTGCTGATGGTAATATTATAATTATAAAAATAAAAAGATTAACTGAAATGGAATTAACTAGGAAATACATCACTATAACCAAGGAGAAAAAATATGGTTTCACAAAGCGTTTTTAAATGCAGAGTTTGGCTTTTTTGATTATTATTATGGCTTCACCTATACATGACTTTTTGAGTAGTTAAATTCAGCCGTACAAACTAATTTATAATATAACAGTGAGAAGCTTAATAACACAACTTCTTAATATATTTGCCAATAGATAGCTCTGTTGTCCTATTTCCAGCCAAATCATATAGTGCTCAGCAGCACGTTACTGAAGAATCCTCTTACAATGTGTTATGCTAGTTGTAAATAAGCCATTTAAGTGAACCAATCTGCATGTCGTATAAAATAAAGAAACTACTGTACACTTTAGTAATAAAGTTACTAGATAAATCTGTATTTAAGTGTTGGTTTGTAGGGATTTGATTGGTTTCAGGATTTCATCAGGAGCTGACATTAGTTAGAGAACCATTGGAAAACCTGGGAGTACTGGACAGCTGTTTCCTCCGTCCTAGTTTGGGACTCTAACTAACTAATGTCAGCTCATGATGAAATCCTGAAACCAACCAAACACCTACAAACCAACACTTGAATACCAATGAGATGCTCACTGGCGACTGGCCCTATTCAGGTAGGTAGTTTCCTGGTTTCCAGTGGGGAGTCGTGACCAGTAGAGTGCAGGTGGTCGGGTGTGAGGACAAATACTCGCCGAAGACATTGGCTAGCAGTCGCGCTATGTCGTGAATTGGCGGAAGTTAGAATTCATGCGCTGGCCATTGGATCGGGTCCCAGTGGCTTAGTGGTATACGAACCAGCCGGCCTTGTAACCAGAAGGTCCTGGGTCCGAATCCCGGTGGGTGAGTACTGATGAAGAGTCCCAAACTAGGACGGAGGAAACAGCTGTCCAGTACTCCCAGGTTTTCCAATGGTTCTCTAACTAATGTCAGCTCATCATGAAATCCTGAAATCTGTATTTCTTTTGTTTTCCATTTATTTTGTCAGTGATAGTTTTTCACTCAAAGGAAATGTTGTTTTACTCACGTATATCTTCCGTCCACATCCAGTGTTATCAGATATGGGGTTAGTTTGAAAAACAATCATATATAACCAGGCTAAATTAGGAATTCTCTAACTTTATACAAAGCTGTGCGCAAAGATGAACTTTACCTAACTAGGGAGCTTAGAGTGTTAAAAATCACTACTTAGACGTGCTAACGAACTCACTACTTAATGCCCTCTAAACTGAGAAAGCCTTTACCAATCCTTTTTTGAGAGCTTTTGTAGCATACTCCTGTTTGTTCATTGCGACAGAACTTGACGTTTCGTCTTTCGTATACCATTTTTGAGATGAGGTAACTTGAAATGATAAATATCAGTGCAAAATACTAAGTCTAAATATTTGTCCGATAAATGTTATTTATTACTGTGTTCTGTACGTCGGTAGCACAGAGGTAGAATGCTCGTAGATCATGCATATAGTCCGGGTTTTGATCCGCGGCCACCGACGCACTTCCACACCTCGCTAAGCCAGTAATAAAGCTGGTAAGGAGGAAAGGTTGGGCATGAGGCTAGCAACTCCATCGTGTAAAAATAAACAAAACTGCTACCGAAACTTCAAGCCTCTGTAGGTAAACATGTTGATTTATCAATCTATACATGACATGCTGTTGTATGTTGAAGATGAAGAAGTAAGATGCAGAGAATTTTGTGACTTTAAAAGATGACCTGCACAACCTTACAGTGTCATATAATCATCCAGCCTTAAAATTTGATTTTATAAGTATATCTTATCGTTCTTAAAATACTAATCGGCTAAAATAGTTTTCACTATAATTTATTGTATGGCATAACACCTGGTCTACAGGTTAAATTCATAATAAATCGTAGCTTAAGATCTTACAAGAGAAACTGTTTTTGGTGATTTCACTTATTACAACTATACTACCGCAAACAAAAATGAGCATATGAAATTAATGCAAAGCTGCTAAAAATAGTAAGTGTTAATGAAGATTGGATGAAATTAATAACAGTTTATATGCGCAAGTAATGATGTGAGTGACAAGGGAAAATACTAAATGGTCTCAATACAATCAAAACATGAGTATAGAAACAATGAAATAACTGAATACGAAGCGATGAAATTTTTCCCTACATGCATGATAGAAATGGTTAAAATGATGTGTGTCACTTCCCTTTTTTTTAATTTCACTTCTGACATAGATACTTCGATCAAGTTCAAATCTGCCTGTTGACCACAATTCTGTGATTATAACCTCTAACTCAAGGGTTTTCTCCGGATGTGAAGCCATCAACTGTGATCCAATGAAGGAGAATATGCAGGACGATGAATTACAAGACCAGGAAGAATGTGATACAAGTGTGGCTACAGTAATTGCATTTGAGACTCAAACCCCAACTAGCGTAAATGTAGAGCAGTAATATCAGTATATATAAATTATCTGCGATTTCTCAACGGTTTTCATCAATTTTACGCAATTTAATCCTTTGATAGTACTATCATGATTATCAGTAGTGTGATAGTTCACTTTAAATTATCACAGACTTTGTGATGCATTTTTTTACTTACCGGTGTTATTTGTAGTCTTTTAAATATATTTAGTGTAGAAAAAAAATCAAATTTTTTGATAACTGGTCTTTGATCCCTTGCTTTTTCATACTGATTCGACTCTTGAGAACACAGTAAATTAGTGATTGATTAACTGATGTGCCGCACAGAAGACCATAACCTTCAGTGTGGAACTGTAACTCATTTGTGAGTTAGTTATTTAAGTTTTAACCTTTGTGTTACTAGCGCTATACATTTCGAACAATCTGATCACACATTTACTTGTCAAGTCAATATATATGGAAAAGTTAAATTAAACAAAGTGACAAAAAGAGAATTAGGAAAAATTAACACAAACGTTTGGTAATCCAATCAAATAAGGATTACCAAGGTAGGTTAAGAGTAATAACAAACTGTTTTTGAATACACAAGGGGGCTTAAGTCTATGAATAGCTATAGCCTAAGCGTATCTCAGTAAACGCCCTTGATCGTTTTTATAGATGACCTTAAAGGTTGAGTTAACATCAATCTTATGGTTCATCTCGATTAGATGTTTAGCTATAGACGAAGTTGGTAGTCTGACACCTGCATCTATTGGTTTGCCACAATTCATCTGTTTTTCTAACCATTTTGGGATATGCTCTCCCACACTCAGGTGCAAAGCGCGATTACTCCTCCCTATATATGTATGTTCACACACACACGAAAATTGGTAAATTGTGTGGGATGTGATATAATCACTTGAGCACTTTTGAGGTTTACAGTGAAGCATATTTTTAGCTTTTTCCACAATTACAAGCTGGGCTGCATTGTAGGTTCTACGGATGATTGAATCCAACCTTTGTCTCACAATCCTACTGTTTATTTCCCCGTTATATAGTATTTTGATGAAAACATTTTTCTTAGGGACAGTATGGATTGTAGGTTTGGAGATGAGTTGATTTCTACACCTGTTTAAAGATTTTAAAGGATATCCGTTATCAACAAGAGTATTCATTAATATTTCGTTTTCTTTGTCTATAACATCAGCCGTGCAAATACGCTGAATCCTCTTAAATAGACACTTGACTAAGCCTCTTTTATACTGTAATGGACAGAAACTGTGAAAATTAAGGTATTGTCCTGTCCAAGTGGGCTTTCTGTAGATATACCGTCTTATTGAGCCATCATCTCTTCGACTCAGAAGTATGTCTAAAAATGCAAGCTGGTTGCGACTTTCTTCCTCTCATGTAAGACTAATATGAGTCTGTACAGAGTTAAGTCTGTCTAATAGGCGACTCGCATCTTCATGATCGTCACATATCAAAATGATATCATCTACAAATCTCCTACAGAATGGCAATTTTGAAATTAAATCAAGGGATAAGTTTTCAACATAAGACGTGTAAACGTCAGCTAACAAAGGTTCTAACGGACTCCCCATAGCAATGCCATCCACTTGTCGAAAATGTTCGCCTTCAAACGTGAAATGGACGTTGACAGTACATAATAATAACGGTCTAGGCGTTTACTGAAATACGCTTAGGCTATAGCTATTCATAGACTTAAGCCCCCTTGTGTATTCAAAAACAGTTTGTTATTACTCTTAACCTACCTTGGTAATCCTTATTTGATTGGATTACCAAACGTTTGTGTTAATTTTTCCTAATTCTCTTTTTGTCACTTTGTTTAATTTAACTTTTCCATATATATTGACTTGACAAGTAAATGTGTGATCAGATTGTTCGAAATGTATAGCGCTAATACATCACATTTTTCAGATAATCTCCGTCTTCTAATAACGCTATCAAAATTTATAAAAGGGACTAATTGTTTGAAACTTTGTGTTACTGGCACGATGCTAATCTGGATGTTAAAATCTTCACGCTAAAGATGTTTTTTGATGCCTGACTAACTAGAATGAATGTGACTTCTATGCCCAAGTCATATATTCACGTTATTACGTGGTGAGTGCTACTTATAACCAGATATAAGTAGTAAATCAGTAGACGAATTTAGAAAAATAATATTTTGGGCACTGAAAAAAAAAACAATCGAAGATGAGAAGAATGTTAAAACACTGTACATAATCGAACAAGCTATCGAATGTGGTTATATTAGACGAATCCGCAAATGATGTCAAATAAAGACTTAAAGATGAGGTATACCGAATTTTCGTACTTACAATGCGTTTGTCCTAATGAACATTGCATTCAAGTCTCATCGGTCTTTTCTTCGTTACAATTACATATAGATGTAATTACCTGGTATCATGAATATCCCCTATGCTAGAAAATTTAAAGGCAGCTATCACTTACATTTAAAAAATAATTCGTGTTGGTTTTAAGAACTACATTACTAATAATTTTAGTACATGCTAAGAACTTCAAAGAGCTACGTTGATGTTTCTTCATGATATATTATACTCTCACAATGGGACGGAAAACAGTGTTTCCTGAATTGTGGTATTTAAAACAAAGCCAAGGTGCGTCGGTGGAACAGTGGTTAGGACTCTCGCCGACCATGCACATGGTCCGAGGTTCGATCGCCTGCCGATGCACACCTGATATTTATGGCCGGCCTGCAAAAAATTTGAGCTACCGATATCCCTGCTGAAAATTCCATACTTGTACCAAAAATACAGTGTGGAATCAAGCTGTAATCAAAAATAATAAATAAATAGATTTACATTTTGCTCCTTTACTCAAACAGTTGAAGATTCGGTGGAGGAAACAAGTATACTAAAAGGGGTTGTTTAGAAATAAATGACCAAAGAACTCCTTTTCTAACTGGTGTGTCACAACTTGCGACCTAACATTACGTCCATTAGCCTGAGAAGATAGTTATTAGGTAGCATAATGAGTATGCTTTCTGGTTTTTGACAAAACATCAGTTGTGTCTGTAATTACCAAGGCATGTTGGTTCGAGCTAGCAACTTGGAATAACTTAAGCACTAAGAAACGCTTAACACTAAATACGGTAATAAGACAGAAAGGAAAAGAGAAACCTGACATACTGATAAATAAGCAAGCACTCAAAGTGTTCGTTTCTTTGCATTAAACAGGAAAGCTTTAGTATGACTATCAGTGCTTTAAATTCCTTTTGGCATATGATAATATCTCTGGCATTCAGTGTCATAGTCACTTGAACTCTGTCTAACAAACTGTCATCCATTAATAAGTACGCATCTAACATATTCTATATTTTGCGATACCGTATCATATTCTAACCTACGCCACTTCAATGAGCCAATCTCGATGTTACAAATCCTCAGGAAAGTCACTGTAACTATATCTGTAGTACATATTCAAGACGATTCCCATACTGATCAGAAACTTATAAGACTTTGATTTCATCATCAAATAAAAGCAGTTCTACAAAAAAAAACAGAGATGATCAACCAAGCATAGTCACCGAAAATCCTGAGCTTGAAAGCTTTCCACAGACTGGACAGAACTGCAAGCAACAGTGTTGTGAAACCGCAAAATCATGCGAAAGCTAACGTTTGAATGACTTCAGAGCTAATAAGTTTAGCCTCTGTCGCTTCAACTTTTGATTGGAAGTATCAGTCATTTTAAATTATTAATCACTGACAAAATTACTAAGATACTGTCTAACGACTTCTAGAAATTCACTTTCAAGTTGATAGAGTCGCTGAATATTCACACGAATACCTGTTAACAATGACTTTTTGATAGATATTACCGGCTTCAACTAGTCAATGAGGAGACTGACATGGTAATATTGGAACGTGAGTTTTCACATACGTTCCCAATGGAACATAGGGCTTCAAGCTAGAACTTCGAAGTTTCGGTTACAGTGTTTTTTATTTTTACGGGGTGGGGTTGCTAACCTCATACTCAACCTTCCTTCTTTCTGCCTGTCTGTTTTCGACATAGAACTTTGCACTTATGTGCGGTACTTCAAGTCACCACACTCCATGTAGAACACAAAACAAGAGAATATAGAAGAAGAAATGCAGAGACAGTAAACAGAGGTGTGAGACAAAGGAATAGTAATAACAAAGAACAAAACAGTTTCATTGGAAATCATAAGTCACAAGAAGTGGATGCATCTGCACCATAACTGAGAACGATTTTGAGACATATCACCAATTGTTTCCAACCATTGGTTTTTACCATCCCGAGGACCCCAACCAGGAAGTCTACACCTTCCTACGTGGCTTAAACTAACTGTTGTAGATTTCATTGGCTGGTGAAGCCATGTTTTTTTTTGACCGCCGCTAGCTCTTTTCCAACCTGGCCCTATATCAGCTAACATTGCCTGTCGAGTATCCGTGCTGAGATTTCGTCAGTGATCAACCCGTTGGGGCGATGGTACTTCCCAAATAAGTGAAGTGGTCAACGGGCTCTACCACTTCACTTCCTATTTCTAAACTAGGAGTCAGTGTGGTTCAGTCTTGTAACATCATCTTGCATTTGGTGGGAGCGAAACACATGCTAAACATTCATAGATTGCAGCTCAAGGTGTTTAGAAGACCCTGCATTTTGTCAGCATCCTCGCCTAGGAGGACTATATCGTCTGCATATTCTAAGTCAACGAGATTATTCCCTGGTAGCAAGTCAATCTCTGAGTGTCTGAAGTGAGTTAGGGTTAAATCTATTAGTACATCTATGACGAAATTGAATAGAAATGGGGGATAATGGGCATCCCTGACGGGCACCACTAGTGGTCACCACTTCAGATGACAACTCTCCGTAAGCCCTCACCTGGCTGCATGAGTTGGAGTAGAGTGCCTTGATCCTTCTTTACCGGTCTCAATATCGGGGATCGGACTCCGGACCATATGCGCCATTGGCAAGCGTTGATTGGGAAGTAATGATATAATGATAGTCCAAATGTATAAAAGAAACTAATCATGCGACAATGTCTACCCGTTAGTGACCATTTGTTCAAATGGTAAAATCTGACTGGGTGTTTATCTGACTAAGGCGGAGATATATTTATGAAGTGAATTCTAATGTGCAGACTATTCAGCTAGTCTATAATATGATATGAAACAAGGATGAGTTCAGGAACTGGTTTGTATTCCTCTTGTAGAAGTAATC